ATGTAGGAATGAAGAACTGATACGACTCAGGTGACCAGGTAGATTTTCCTGGGGATTCTCATAGTAACTTCCTGTTAGGGGTTCATTCTTTCCTTTTCCAGGATCCCTGGCAAATCTGCTTAGCTTAGAGGCTCTCTCCACTCCTTCAGCCCCAGTCATCACTCCCCAGTCTACTACCTGGACTGGCCCCTCAAGAATGACTTCTTCATGGTCTTGTGATACAGCCATCTCCAGACCTCAACCTTCTAGGCCCCCTCGGCTCTCTGCAGTCTTTGCCGTCTCTTTTTTTCCTGCCAGCATCTTACTTCCTTGACCCCCAGGGGACCTCATTCTGACCACTGCTTTGTATTTCCTGCCCAGTTCTTTTTTTATTCTTCAAGTTAGACAGTTCTTCAGAGTCTCCATTTCTTTTCCCATTCCATGTGCTCTCCTTATCTCAGTATTTTATTATTTATTTTACCACTGTCTCCTAAAAAATCGAGGTATAATTAACATATAACATTGTTTTAATTTTAGAAGTACTCTTATTTTTTCTGTTTTTTTTTTCTTGTTCTTTTTTTTTGCTGTTGTTACTTTTGGTTTTTTGAATACTTTTAAAACTTTTTCCTATTTAAAAAATAACTTTATTGAAGTATAATTTACATACAATAAAATTCATTGATATATTTTAAGCGTTCAGTTTGATGACTTTTAACCAATGCATACACCTAAACAAGATATAGAATCCATCTATCACCCCAGAAAGTTCCTTGGTTCTTCTTTGCAGTCCCCTCAATTCAAGGCAACCACTGGACTGCTTTCTATCACTGTAAATTAGTTTTGCTTGCTTAAAAATTTTATATATATGGAATCACATGGTAAGAACTCTTTCATGTCTAGCTTGTTTTATTCCCCACAGTGATTTTGGGAGTTATCCATGTTGTTGTATCTTTTGGTAATTTTATCTTTTTATTATAATACATTCCTATGGCTATACCAAATTTTGTTTACACACACCCTAGTTAATGGATATTTGGGTTGTTTCTAGTTTTCAAAAGTTGTGAATAAAACTGCTATGCACCTTTGTGTACAAGTCTTTTTTTTTTTTCCTTAAGGTAACTTAGGCATTTTGGAAGGATTTTTAAAATAATTTACACGTTTTAATGTGGACTTTGACAAGCATTTGAGCAACAAAATCATACAGAGTTGAGTTCAACATGGTAGTCACTTGCTACTTTTGCATGGGGGTACTTATATTTGTGTACAGTCTTTTTGTGGACTTTTTTTTAAAATTGCTCTTTGATAAATATCTAAGAGTAGAATTGCTGGGTCATGTGGCAGGTGTATTCTGAACTTTTTTATTTTTATTTTTAATTTTATTTGTGACAGCAGAAATTTATTTTCCCACAGTTAAAGAGGATAGAAGTCCAAGATCAGAGTGTCAGCAGGTTGGTTTCTCCTGAGAGCTCTCTCCTTGGCTTGCAGACAGCTGCCTTCTCACTGTGTTCTTACATGGCCTGTTCCCTGTGCGAGCACACCCCTGGTGTCAGTGTATTCTTAACCTAAAAAAAAACCCACAAAAAAACTCCAGTATGTCCCCAGGTGGTTGTATTATTTTCAGTTCCTGCCAGCAAGATATAAGAGTTCCAATTTCTTTCCATCCTAGCCAACACTTGGTATTGCAAGTGTTACATAGTATCTTGCTGTGGTTTTATTTTGCATTTCCCTGATGAGCATCTTTTCATGTACCTATTGACCATTTGTTTAGCATTGTGAAGTGTCTATTTATGTCTTTTGCCCATTTTTTTTAATTGAGTTGTTTGCCTTCCTATTAGTGAGTTGTTCAAGTTCTTTATATGTTCTGAATGCAAGTCTTCTTTCAGAGATATGTATTGTGAATACTTTCTCTCAGGCTGTGGTTTGCCTTTTCAGAGCAGGAGGTTTTAATCCTGACAAAATCTCTTTCCTGTGGTGTGCTGGCCTCCCCAGCCCCTCACTCCTCTTGGGTTTCCCTTGACTCACTTCGATCTTTTTTTTTTCCTGCTTTGCAGATCAGCTTGTCCTGCTCCTCTCTCCAATTTTGTATAAAACCCTTCTCAGGTTTTCTAAAAAAGAGAAAGAGAGAGACACACAGAGAGACAGAGAGACAGACAGCCCTTTTTGCAAAGACATCTTTCTGCCCCTCTAACAGTTCTCTTCCTTTCTCATTTCCTGCACATAATTTCTTCATTCCCGGTACATAACTTCTTCTTTTTTCATTCCCTTTTCTCCTCTTTAATTTCCCTGGCCCTTATTTCCCATCTATGTTGGACCAAAGATTAACCTTTGAGAGTAAAATCAGGCCTTTTCCTGCATTGAGGCTTTTATGCAAAGTGCTCTACCAGAAACTTTCCCAGGCCCAACAATGCCAGAAAAAAATTCTCAGGAAGGGGTAACTAGAAAGTAAATCTTTTGACCCAAGGAATCTCAAATGGCAGTTTTATTGGATGAAAAGGGGCCCCATACAGGTCATGTTGAGGAACAAACTGTATTTCTTGTGGAACATTCTCACCTGTGTGGGATTCCTGCCTAGGTGTGGGGCCTCCCGCCAGATAAGATAAAGAAAATCTTTGGAAGCACTTATTAACCCTCACCTGCATCAGATCACTCACCTGCATAGTTTTATAATTCTCCCCTTCTCCTCCTGTGCCATTAAACAGACAGTGGTGCTTCTCAAGGTGTGGTCCCCAGAACAACAGCATCTGCATCACTTGGGTGCCTTTCAGAAATGCAAATTTCTAACTAAAGCAGTGGGTCTCACACTTGAGTGTGCATCAAAATCTCTGGGAGGGTTTGTTGGAACAGTTAGAACAGAGATTGCTGAGGCTGGCTCCAGAATCCAGTAGGTCTGGAGTGGGCCTGAGAATTTGCATTTTTAGTTCCTATTCCAGGAATACCCTTTGCGAACCACTGTAGTAGCGGTTCTAATTTATTTGATCTGGGGTCAGGTGGGCCTGGGCATTCACGTTTCAAAATGATTCTTATGAGCAGCTGAAGTTGAGAACTCCTGGTCCATGGGTTGGGGTGCAACATGGCTGGGGCCACACAATTCCAGTGAAATAAAAGGTGTTTTAAATACAGAACCTTCCTAAAGGGCTTTTCCTTTGTCTAGTCTTTTCTTCCATGTCAGGCCCACACCTCCAGTGCGCTCAGGGCCCCATCAGTTTCCTCTAAGGACCTGCAGATCCTTGGAGGAGTCTCTGAGCAGGACTGGTGCTGGCCTGGCCATAAGCGCTAGGCCCCAGGTGCTGTTGGAGCTGTAAGAGGACAACTCCGGGAGTGAGTCCTTTGAGAGCTCTGAGCAGGGCCACAAGCCTCCTTGGCTGGAAAAGGACACATTCCTTTTGGTGCCGGTGAGAGGTAAGGACTGAAACTATTGCAAATGGCCTGGGACTGTGACTGTATTTGAAGCTGTTCTATTAAATTTCCAGGTCCCTGTGTTCATTGTATTACATGCAAGCCTTTGATATTCAGCCATGTTTCTATTAAGTGTGGTCACCCAAGACTTTCAATTGTTTTAACTTTTATTGAGGCATAATCCACATGCAGTACAAATAATCTACAATGCACAAATAATCTATAATGCACAAACCTTAAGTAGACAGTTCAGTGAATTTTTATCTATGTATACACCCATGTCACCACCACCCAGATTAGCATAGAGAACATTTTCGTCATTCCAGAAAGTTCCCTTGAGCCCTTTTCTAGTCAATCTTCACCTCCCACTGCTACAACCGTTGACCTCTGTTGCCACAGATGAGTTTTGCCTGTTTTTGAGCTTCATATAAATTTAGTCACATGGAATGTGCTCTTTTGTGTCTGGTTTCTTTTTCTGAACATTGTTTTTGAGATCATCCATATTATTGTGTATCAGAGCAATTAATTCATTTTCCTTCTATGCTGTACACAATATATTTACCCATTCTTCCACTAATGGACATTTGGGTTGTATTTAGATCTTGACTAGTATCAGTTGAGCTGCAATATACATTTTTGTACATGTCCTTTGTTGTCTATAAAGGACTTCTTTGCAGTATATAGTGGTAGTGGAAATGCTCAGTTATATGTTTATGCTTGCTTTTCGAAGAAATTGCCAAACAGTTCTCTGAAGTACTTGTACCAATTTGTATTCGAGAGTTCTGGTTACTCCACAGCCTCACCCACCGTTGATATTTTCAGAGGTTTGATTTTAGCCATTCTAGAGAGTGTGTCGTCACAGCCCATTGTTATTTTAACTTGTATTTCCCTTACTAGTTGATGATGAGCATCTTTTCATGTTTCCAGGCCATTCGAACATCCCTTTGTGTTAAGTGCCTGCCTAAGTCCTTTGCCTATGTTTTTTCTGTTGAGTATCCGAGACTTTTTAATTAAGGTAAAAGTGTTGTGAAGTAGTGCTTTACTTATGTCAGGAATTAAGAGGGGGCTCAAGTGGGCTTGTGAAGAGGAGGATGAGAGGGATGAAGACCTTTCTTAATGAATCTGCTCCCCAGCCCCCTGAAGCTTTTTGATCTCTGTCTCCTCAGCACTTAGAAGAGGGCCAGGCACAATTCTGGAACCTAGTAAATCATCAGCTATGAGGACTGTTCTTTGTTTTTTTGGGGGTTGGTGGGCTAGGCCAGACCCTGAATCCTTTCCAGTTCTGGACTAGTGACCCATAAGCAGCCTTAGGCCACCAGATGGCTAATATGGCCCTGACTCAGACTTGTTGATCAACCTATTCGGATCCCATGAAAACCATCCCTGGTAACTGGAGTCCACTACGAACCCCTGAGATCGCAACCCTATCTCTATTCTGATTTCTTCAAAGTCAAGATTTGCATTCAATAGTTCAGGTCTCCCAGCATCTGGATCCCTAGGTCACTAAAAGAATTCCTTGGAGACCACAGCCTGCCCTCTCAGCCCCTTGTTAACCATTTGCTCTGGCCATGATGATTTCCAGATTGGGGACTAACTTGGGATACACTATGTTCTTTCGTGTGCAGGACCCAGATAAGCAGCCTCCAGATCATCTCCTTTGCCACCTGGCATGCAAGAGGCCCAATCAATATTTGTGAACTAAATGAAGAAATGAATGATTTAGTGTCTGACTCATTTCCTGATCAGGCAACCCATCTTTCATTCCTGCCACCTAGAGCCAAAGGAGAAAACAGAGACATCTTTTCATGTTTTTCCAGAGACTCAAAGAATTTGATGTCTTATTGTTCTTGGTAACTTCATAAAGTCTTAACATCCCTTGATTATTGAACACTTTTGTGTCTGCTAAATTGTTTGAAACACAGAATCCCGTTCTCTATATTGACTTCATAATATAAGAGATGTGTCCAACTGGTAAAAAGAAATGTTAAAAGAATAAAATGCTCAGTGGTGCAGTTCTGGAATCTTCAGACTCAATCAATCATCAATCAGTCAATCAAGTAACTAACATTTATTATGTAACTCTTTGGTGCCAGGCGTTGGGCTAAACACGAGGGATATGATACTAGAGATTTCAGTCTGGTGGTGGATCTATTTACTGACTCAGTTTCTCCTCGTGGTTCTTCATCTCTGATCCTCTCCTGATGTGAGATTTCTCCTGCACTTGTGGTTTGCCTGACACCCCATTGTTGCCTCTTGAACCCCAGCTGCTGGCCAATTTCCAGTGTCTGATTGTGCTAGGTTGTAATTCCATATGCTGCCAGTAGGTGCCTCCCTTTTAACACCTGAGGTTCCCCTGGATGAAATTTTTGGTTTCCACGTGACAAATGAGAACAGTGTGAAAGTAAATTTTGTGGATTTGAAGTTTTACTTTTTAAAAAATGTTAACTATGAATGAAGAGTGACCTTGGGTAGTAAAGGATATGTAAATATTTTTGGAATAGTGCTATCCAATAGAACTTTTGGGGTGAGGGGGGAGGTAGGTGGGGTAAAAGGGGTCAAGTATGTGGTGACAAGAAGAAAAGAAATCTAACTATGGGTGGTGAACACACAATGCAACATATATATGTCTTACTGTTGAATTGTACACCTGAAACTTACTGGATTTCGTTAACCAATGTCACCATGATAAAAATAAATTAAAAATAAATAGAACTTTTGGCAATCTGTTCTACCATCTGAGCTGTCCAGTGTCAGTAGCAAAAGGTGGTGACAGAAAGAAAAGAAATCTAACTATGGGTGGTGAACACACGATGCAACATATATATGTCTTACTGTTGAATTGTACACCTGAAACTTACTGGATTTCGTTAACCAATGTCACCATGATAAAAATAAATTAAAAATAAATAGAACTTTTGGCAATCTGTTCTACCATCTGAGCTGTCCAGTGTCAGTAGCAAAAGCTACATGTCACTACTGAGCACTTCACATGTGGCTAGTGCGACTGAGAAACTGAATTTTAAATTTTATTTAATTTTAACTAATTTAAAATAGCTGCAAGTGCTCAGTGGTCACTGTATCAGGTGGCACAGCTTGTTTTTGTCATTTCAGCAAAGGAAAAGCAAGAGAATCAATGTAAGAATAGAGCAGCAGCCAGTAAGTCCCCTCCTCACCAAAGTCTCTGATGACACTTTCACTTCAGGCTGGTTTAGCACAAGACTGTGGAGCAGAGAGATATGAGAGTTCATTCTGGCCTTGCCACTTAATAGCTGCTGTGGCCTTGGCATGTGAGCTAATCTCTCTGAGTCTCAGTTTCCTTATCTGTAAATTAGGGACAGTGACATCAACCTTAAGACTGCGGTGAGGAATGAGTTAAATACAGCCCTCAGGGCAGTGCCAGCATACACCGAGTGCTCAACAAATGGCCCTGCTGCCCCTCTAGGTGATGCTGCTGTTGCAGTGACAGACCACCCAGCTCTGAGCTGGTCTCCTCAGGCTCTCTACAGGGGCTAAATCAGGGTGAGGAACACTGTCCCAGGTCAAGAATATCAAGCAAATAAATTAGTCAGGAGTCATCTAGAAGCCAGGCTGCTGTGTCAACCTCATTCACCCAGAGGTAAAAATCAAAAGGGCTTGCCCTGGGTGGAGCTGTGCGCCAAGGGAGCGGGGTCTTCGCCCCGACCTCTGCTCTCTGCACTGTTAACCTCTGCATGGCCTCTACCTTCTTCCTCCCTCTCGGGGTCCCGACCGTGAATGGGTGCTGGGAAAACAGGGACCAGCTAGAATTCCCATTCCAGTTCCAGCAGACTGTCTCCCTCCGCCTGTCTGAGTTACGTTAACTATCTTACTAGAGGGATTTCCAGTCATCCTGATGGGGGTTCTCTCCACCTGCACCCACCCCATCCACGGTCCTAAGCACTCGAGGCATTTCTCATACTTTACTTTCCAGTGGGCTCAGATCACCTGAAAGCTTGTTAATATGCAGACTCTGACTCAGGAGGTCTGGGGGTGTGGGGTGGGGGCACTGATGCCGATGGTGCTGGTGCCGGCACCAATAAGTGGCAAGATTGTCTCAGTCGATGGTTCGCAAAGTGTGGTCCTGAGACCGGCAGCATCAGCATCCCTTAACCAGCAACTTGTTGGAAATGCACACTCTTGGGCTCTATTCCAGACCTCCTGAATCAGACTCTGGGTGGAACCCGGCAGTCCCTGTGTTATTAAGCCTCATCGGGCCCCAGCTGCCAGCTAATGTTTGAGAATCAATGTTCTAAATCCCTGGTTCTCAAACTCAGCTGCTCTTGGAATCACCTGTTTCTAGTTGATCATTTACTTCATTTTTGATTTGTTTTCAATTGTTCCTTTTATTTTTATATTTAAAAATCAACATCACGGAGGGATAATTTCCTGGGGAGTTAAAAAAAAAAAAAAAAAGAGCAGTTGCTTGGGTCCTAACCCTAGAACTTCTGGTTTGAAGGGCTGGGAATGCAGCCTGGGCACTGACACTTTTAAGTCTCCCTGGGTGGGATGCAGCGTCCATTTTTAAGTCGTGGGGACTCAATAGAATTACCTGGAGACCTTAATAAAGGCCCGGTGCTTGCCTCCCACCCACCAGATTCTGATCTAGGATGTTTTCTCAGCTTTGGAGTTTTCAAAGTCTTCTGAGGTTGAGAACCACACTGTCCTAACTGATGGGTATCCGTGGGGATAGGGTTGGGGGTGAGGACTCCTGCTTTAGAGATAGATTTGGAGAGTCCTCTTTATTAGGAAAGGGAGTCTTAGGTAGTCCTAAGTGAGAATTCAGAAGGGTCGGCTGGGAATTGGCATGGTGGAAGGGAGATGTTCATACATGGAGCGAAACGTGTATGTGCAGAAAAGACAGTCCTGAGGCTGAAATGTCTGCGGTGCCTAAGGTTTGTGGGATGCTTTTTCCCTTTTAACTTTATTTTTAACATAATTTCGGGCTTATAGAGAAATTGCAAGAATAGAACAAAATTTTTTTATTCTTCGCCCAGATTCTTGTGTGTATTTTTTTCTGAATCAGATGAAAAGTTGCACATGTGATGCCCTTTATCCCTCAAAGACTCAGTTGTATAATTCCTAAAAATATAAAGGACATTCTCTTATATAACCACAGTGCAGTTACCTAACCCAGGAAACTTGTATCAGTTCAATACAATTATCTAATCTGCAGACATTATTCAGATTTAGATTTCGCCAATGTGATTTATAGCAAAACAGTATCCTGGATCACATTGTTGCATTTAGTTATCCTTTCTCTACTCTCCTCCAGTCTGGAACTGTTCCTCAGCTTTCTTTGTCTTTTACAACATTTGCAGTTTTGAAGAGTACGGGCCAGTTATTTTGTAAAAAGTCTCTCAATTTAGGTCTGATATTTCCTCATGATTAGACTCAGGTTATGCATTTTTGGCAAGAATACTAGGACAAGGATGTTGCGTTCTCAGTGCATCATATCAGGAGATTGTGAGGTCAATTTCTTGGGTTGGGAGATTTTAAAACAAATTTGGATTATCAACAGTTCCAGTGAGAAGGAAAATCAAGAAGCCTATAGAGAGACTGGTGTGGTTTGCATGAGCAATGGCGATTACCTTAAATTTTTGAAGGACAAGAACAAAGGTCTGAAGGCAGAGGACTCAAGACAGAAAACAAAAAGGATAATGACTGAAAACTGATGTCCAGAGTGAGCCGAGGCTATGAAAAATGCTGAAGGCAAACAAATGGGCTTAAACAACACTAATTTGTTCTTCTGTCAATAAAAAATAGAATGTGCCTATTGGAGAAAATATAAAAAGTATAAAGAAGAAAATAGCTACTCCCTAAGTCCTACAACCAGCAATAACCACTGTTTATATTTTGGCATATTTCTTCCCAGCCTCCAGAAAGGGCATTTAAAGCTGTGCTTGAAGCATGAAACACAGTAAGAAAGAGCTAAGTCTTCTCTGCTGGAGAAGGTGATGTCATGCCAGTGGAGGCTAGCAAAAGAGGGCAGCCTGTGTCCACCTCACTCAAATGGCATCTGTAACCTGGGAGGGGGAGAGCTAAGCCAGGAAGGAGGCAGAGTGTGCATTCAAGAGCCCAGAGCCACTGCCCTGGTCTTTGCAAAACTGAGAGGCTGGTTCTAAAAGATTGGAACTGGGCAAATGTTTTACTGATTTGTAAAAATAGAAGGGGGTAAGAAGGGTGTGTGGTGACAGGGGAGACTCAACTTGAGACTAAGCTGTGTTCAACCCTGATTCAGACTAAGGAGGCCCACAGGCCAGGGGCAGGCAGGGAGCATATATCACCCAAAATAGCCTTCACAACCATCTGTCCAGGTGTGTTTTTCTCATTCTTGTTTTACAGACAAGGAAACTGAGACTCAAAGGTTAAGTACTGTGGCAGATACCATCGGTGCCCCACCCAATGTCCTCAGTCACCCAGAGGTCATACCAGAGAGTGCCTGTATGTGCTGATGACTTCCCGCATCTCTCTGCAAGGTGATCTCTGGCCTTTGGAGTGTGGGGAGTTAACACCCCAAGAGTAACTTTCAACCAGGAAATTGATGGTAAATACCCCAACTTGTTTGCTCCTTGATGAGACTTTTTTAAATTGTGATAAAAAACATATTACATAAGATTTACCATCTTAACCATTTTTAAGTTTATAGTATTTAGTATTAACTACATGCACTTTGTCATGCAACAGATCTCTAGAACTTTTTCATCTTTAAAATTAAATTCTATACTCATTAAACAACTCTCCATTTCCCCTTCCTCCCAGCCCTGGCAACCACCAGTCTGCTTTCTGTTTCTATGAATTTGACTACTTTAAATATTGCATATAAGTGGAATCAAGCAATAGTTGTCCTCCTGTGAGTGGCTTATCTTACTTAACATAGTATTCTCAAGGTGCATCTATGTTGCAGGATGTGACGAAATTTTCTTAGGCTGAAAAATATTCCATTGTATGGACATACCACATCTTATTTATCTATTCACCCATCAGTAGACACTGAGTT